CCCTATGGAAATGTAGTTCTTTTTCCAAGAAGCTAATATCCTCTCAAACTTTTCCAGAATTGGGGTCCAAAATCTACTCTCCTTTAGGTTAGCCCCTAGAGGGAGACCTAGATACTGCAAGGGCCAAGAAGAAATGGGACAACCTAAACAATCCGCCACATACTGCAAAGTCCTCACATTTAGATTAACCCCTACCACACAACTCTTATCCAAGTTTATCTTCAAATTGGAGACATTCTCAAAGTGTTGTAACAATGCTTTGAGATTTCTCACTTCCCACCTATCACCCCCTTCACAAAAAATTATGATATCACTGGCAAACTGCAGGTGGGTTACCCGGACATTGTTCCTTCCAATCCTCCAGCCTCTAACTTCCTCTTCCCTATCTGCTTTAGAGATTAATCTACTRWAGACATYTGCAACTAGGGTDAAAAGAAWAGGGGAGAGAGGGTCACCTTGTCTAAGGCCTCTACAAGCTGGGAAAAAGTCTTTCACCACCCCATTAATCAAAACGGAGTAATGGCAGGAACTAATACAGCCTTTACCCAATTGCACCATCTAGCTCCAAACCCACAACACCCTAGGACCTCTAGTAAAAAACTCCAATCCACAAGATCATAAACCTTCTCCAAATCTAGTTTACAAACGAAACCTTGGGTTCCTGACTTTCTCATGTCCTCCACGCACTCATTTGCTATTGGGATCTGATCCATTATTTGCCTTCCCTGCACGAAAGCACCTTGTTCTTGACTGATGATGGAGGGTAGTACTACTCGGATTCTCAATGACAACACTTTAGCGAGGATTTTATAGATGCTTGTCACTAGACTGATTGGCCTGTAGTCCTTAGGGTTCTTTGCATCTACCTTCTTTGGGATTAGGGCAAGGAAAGTAGCATTGACTCCAGGGCTCACCGTTTTTTTATCTGCAAATTCCCGAAACACCCCAACAAGGTCTTCTTTGACCACATCCCAACAATCCTGATAGAAAGCCATTGTAAAGCCATCTGGACCAGGTGCTTTGGATCTATCCATTGAAAACACCGCCTATCTGATCTCTTCTTCACTAAAATCCCTTTCTAACCAGTTTGCTTGTTCTTCAGACAATCTAGTCCACTCCAAGTCTTCCAAGGTTGGCCTATTATTCAACRGTTTCCYWTAGATTGATTTGAAATGATCCACAAAACATCTGRYTATCTCATCTTGATTTGTGAGTTCCTCCCCATTCACCTCTAACTTAGCCACAAAATTTTTTCTTCTCCTCCCATTAGCCAATGCATGGAAAAATTTAGTATTTCCATCGCCTTCCTTAATCCATTTATGTCGCGACTTTTGCCTCCACGAGATTTCCTTTCTCAAAAGGACCTCTTCCAAGTCCTTCTTTAGATTTCCTCTCAAAACCCGTTCTTGCTCACTCATCATCCTTTGAGCTTCCTTGGAATCAAGTTCCTCAATCTTGTACATCAAGTCAATTTTTTGCTCCTCTATCCTTCCAAAGTGTTCCCTATTCCACTCCTTAATTTTGGATCTCAACCTTTTTAATTTTTTGTGGAATCTTACTCCCTTCCAATTCACTCCTCTTAATTCTTCTCTCCACCATTCCCTAATCAAGTGCACAAAATACGGATGAGTTAACCACATATTCTCAAATCTAAAAGGCCGAGGACCAGAAGTTAAGGTTTCAGGACTTAGCTACATAAGGCAATGATCAGAGGTGACTCTGGGTAAGGCTCTAGCCATCAAGTTTGTCCAATGGTTCTCCCACTCTTCAGTAAAGAGGAATCTATCTAATTTCGAGCAAAGGGGGTTTTCTTGGAAATTTGACCATGTAAAATTGGCTTGTAAGAGGGGTAACTCCTTTAGACCACAGTTATTAATGAAATCATTGAACTTCCTCATGCTGGTTGTAATTGTCCTTTGGGGGTTATTAGATTCGGTACAAAACCTAATTACATTAAAGTCCCCTCCAAGACACCAAGGACCCTCCCACAGACCTCGTATGGCATACAACTCTTCCCACATCTCATTCCTCTCTCTATACGAGTTTGGCCCATAGACATTGGTTATGACCCAGGTGAAGCCATCCCCCACATTCCTAACCTTTAAGGACACAGAAAATCTTCCTATTAGCTCCTCCACTGATTCTACAGCATCCTCCCTCCATAAGGTTACTAGACCTCCAAAGGCTCCATAGGACGGCACCAAAGTCCAACAAATTCCTCTTGATCTCCATACACTTCTGATCCATCTTCTATCCAATTCTGCCAGCTTGATTTCCTGCATCAAGACTATGTCCGGTTTCTCTCTCCTTAACAAATCTTTAATTGCCCTTCTCTTTCTTTCACTTCCCAAGCCTCTCACATTCCAGCTAATGATCTTCATCAAGCACTTTTTCAAAAAAAACCCTTCTCAAAGACTCCACCTTACAGCAAAGTTTTTCTTCTTTCCCCTCTCCCACTAAATTCAATATC